ATAGGAAACCTATACAAAAGCTAGATGAATTCGGAATATTTTCTCTATCGAATAGTTTTACACCTTCCCGAATAAATTCCATATCGGTAAATACAGTTGAACGAGAACGAAAAAAAATCTAATAATTCCTATACAATTTTCATGTGTATTCAGTGCACTTTGTTTACCGAACATAATTAAAAATTCTCTTTTAACTTCTCCTATAATAAATTTTTGACATTATCTGTAATATAGTGAAATTATTAGCAATATATAATGCATTTTATCTTAGTTCATTACTACTAATCGATGTGTGTAATGAAATTTTATACTAACAGATCATTACAAAAAATTATCTTCAATACATATATTATTATACAGGATTAAATTTTCTTCATTTTTATTACTTGTTCTAGAATATATAAAATATTTACAATTATTGTTATTGAAATGTAAAAAACTATATCTCCTGAAACACAGTTTAACATTAGCCTTCGCCTTACAATAAAGTCCAAGAATTATCATTTTTTTTCATAATTTACATAACTATAATTTTATTATTTAACTTCATATTTCAGGATGTTAACTTTATTATTCTTTCCATTAATATTGTACATAAACCTTATTAGATGATATTTACCAATGTAAATATTTTGTCCTATTTTTAAGCTTACACTATTGTGTTTATATAGCTAATTTAAAATTAAATAAACTAGTATATTAAGGACACATAAAATTTTATTTTATTTGTTTATCAAGAAGTTCAAGATAAAAGATTAAAATTTCAAGATAATTGTTTTATACTTATCTGAAATTGTATAAATTACAAGGTGGTTTACAATTACCCTAAGCAAAATAAAACAATCCTGAATATAATTAATTAAACCATTACAAAAATATTATGACTCGATAGAAATATTTCTTATAAAATGGATGTAGTGGATATACTGTACTGTAACCTACTTTTAGTTTATCTAACTTTATACCAAACGCATTTTTCTTGTTCGCAGGAAGCATTATATCTACTAATCCAATATGTAACAAAAAATGAGAAAAGAACGTATCGAAACAGAATAGACAGAATGATAAAGCGTTGGCATAGATATATACTAGTTTTTTTTTATCCACGGTTGATCGTAAAATATAAACGTGTTCACAGTAAATACAGACAATAGACGATAATGTCAATAAATACTTATGAACAATATGAACTTAGAGAACATCAAAAGTAACATTGAGTAGAGCACGCGCGAACATCTATTTTTGTCCCAGTATCCACCTCTGCTCCACCCTAGACATCCTTTCATCAAGTTACAATGCACATAAGTATCATGTGTATTACACGTCCCATATTAGCTTCGAAAAACAGGTGTAACTTCCTAAAAAAAATATTTTTTTTTTTTGAAACTTGTAATCCGTAAAATATGTTTAGCGATTCCTGTAGCGTCTTCGTCAACCATTTTCACGCTTTGCATTGGTATGCTGTGTATATGAGTAGAATAATGAATGTATGCGCATGTGCTTATGTTTATTAAGGATATCACCTACTTCCGATCAGCTCAAACAAGTTTCCTTGAACTAGCAAGCTGATACTTTTGACAGTAAGGCAGTAACCCGTTCTTCTTTTGTGCTCTTAGGAATTACGTTTACAAATGTACAATGTGTGTATGTGCTCGCTTGAATATGCGTATCAGAGCGAAGGGAAGAAATAATGTATCGACGAGTGAATTTGAGGAGTGTTCCTTTTAAGACGTGAAGAATTAAAATCATATTTTATCAGTCCTTAAGTTCTGGAACTTTACTGTCCCGTTTACACATTTATTATCAATAAATATATATGCAAATCAATTGTGCATTTGTGACTAGCTGCGCTCCAAAAATTATAGTCTCTTTAATTGTACATAGTGCAGTTAATACATTTCCAATTTCCACATATAAATATGAAATCTTTGCTTGACAATAAATATAATTAAATAGTTTTTAAAAATTTGCATAAATAACAAATGTAGTTATTTTTAAAGAGTAAACTGCAACGCGTTTTTCACCGATGCGACATATTAGAAATATTTTTCAAAAAGCTAGAAGAATATAGGATGATTACGAGTTTAGCGTGCTATATAGTTGAATTTAAATTGTTTACCGAACCTTTATCTAACAAAATATTAGAAAATTAGCTTGCGAAATTGTGCGATTTAGCTTTTTTTTAAGGATTTTGTACAGTAATGCACACAACCGTATTTGTAAATGAATTTTCAGTTTTCTTAATTCTGATAAAAATTTTCTTGATACAAACATTAAATTTTTTAATGGCTAATGGCGAAATTATTTTATGAGTCATATAAAACCGTTTTGTACATTTAGTTTAAAAAATTAAAGAATCAAGAAATTTTAAAAAGATTAATTAGATTTTTAATATTATAAAAAAGTCCCCCCAATTTATTTAAAAAAAAATATATCAGCAGATTCAAAGTCAACAACCTCCAAACAGAATAAAAAAAAAGAAAAATTTAATAATAAATAAAAATATTCGATTACAATAAAAAGTTTAATATTGCCAGAGTTATATAATCCTAAAGTTATGTACCAGGCCAATACAATTAATCTGGTTTTACAATACTTGCGTACATTTGAAAAATCACAAAATAGCTATTTATGCGATAAGTAAGAGAAATAGCAAATTATGTGGGTATTGGTTATTACCTGAGCTGACAGGGTGTACTATGTCACAACAGAACAAAGTGGAAATTTGTGCCTGAGCGAAGCAAGTGCGAAAAAAACAGGAGATCGCTTGTGATACAACACAGCTACAAGCAAATAACCCCCATCATACCAGGTATACGATTTCTCAGACATGTCGCATACAATATTTTATTCAATACGTGACGAGAACAAAAAATAAATGAGTTATAGAATCTTTAATAATTTATAAAAAACGTTTGTTTAGTTTCTTTCCTCGAAATTATTATTATAATTAATATCTAGCAACAATTTCACATAAAAATTGCACGTATATCTTCTTTGAAACTGTTTAAATATTAAATTTATTTTGACAAATGAGAGAGTGAATAGTATTTATATATGTAAAAAAAGATATTTTGGAAACTAAATGTAACTCTTTTGTTGCGTACGCGCGTAATCTGTTTGTCTAAGCGACACCACTTGAAATAAACGCCTGATGTGGCGTCCTACCGAAACCTCCCGAATATTCTTGACCAAAGGACCAGCGAGCGCGTTTTGATTCTGTATTGTGTCTAGAATAATTGTGGGCGTGTGTTTGAGGTTTATAAAGAAAAAATAAATACAATGATATCCTAATTAACATTAACAGAGACATATCAATCACGTTGACTAATAATGACTACAAATGATTTTCTTTCATATGCGTAACTTCAACTCGTATATTAATATTTCAGTGTGTAACACCTTGTGCTATAGTAATTTAATACGTCAGATTGGTCACTTCTCAACCACCAAACACAACGCTAAAAAGATGAACTCTCTCAATCATTGATTGCATAAAAAAAATTATTCTCGATAATGTAAGAGGAATGAATTAAAAACTAGCTGAATTATTTTTATTTTTCAATTAACACGTTTAGCGCCACGCAAATTCTTAAGGAAATCTTAGTCAGTTCACACGCGTTACTTACTATTGAAAAAACAGCCGCCGACGTACGAGACATTCAACGCCTGAGCGTCGGCAACGTAGCGGCCACTTAACCCCCCAACACTGATCATTGAAAATCCCCAAAAAAATATTTAAAACATTGGCGTAACCATAGCAAGTTAATAAAAATCGATGTGTAAGATACTCATATCAGCAAAAAAAAATCCACACATCGAGCAAAAACCCACTTTATCCCGCGGCCGAGACGCAAGCGCAAGACTCGGAAACCCGCGTTTTCGCGGGACCGGCTGTCAATGTGTTAATATTTGTTATATTTATTAGGATTAATTCTTATATCTTATTTTTAAACTGGATAGTATGTAGTAAATAATATCGTTTTTAATAAATAAAAAATTCTTAAAAAAGAAGTTTATCTATTATTTAATTAGTAAAATAATTACCATAACAACTTATTTTTAGTTGTGTCTGGTAAAATAAAAAAAGCTCAATACTAGCGAAATAGTATCCTCTTCGAAGCGATTGTAATCACAAAGCGATTGTCATCCATAGGAAAAACTTTGACAGTAAGTATTTAACCGTTTGAGTCCCAAGCAGCGCGATCGCGCTGTTCAAGTTTTGTGTTGAGAAAGGCCAGCATATTTCGAGCATTGTGGACAATTGACGGAGCGATGAAAACAATACGACAATCACACGTTACTTACCACATACAAGAAGCGCTATCGCGCCGCTTGGTATTTCTCGACATAAAATTAAACAAGAGCGATTGCGCTGATTGGGATTTTTCGACTGTGTTTTTTCAATACCGTCTGGGACTCAAACGGTTAAAACTTTAAAATTAAAATGACTTATACCATCAGTAGTATAAAAAATAAGCTAAAAGTGGAATAAGTTTAGATGAGTAAATGTCATAAATATGTTGACCGATCGGTCTAATTAATTGATCACAATAAATAAAAATAGGCTACATATTTTTCACAAAAGAAAAAAAAATATGAAAAAATTCACTAAATATATACATTAGAAAAATCCAATAAAAAATAAATAGTGATATAATAATAATATTTATTTATTATTATTAATAATAACGTTATATTTGATGAATCAAAAGTTCCTGAGTTTATTGTGTTGTTTTAGATAGTGGCATTTTTTGAAGATAATAAAATTACTTAATGTGCAAGTAAAATATTAATTTAAAAGCGTACGAACTTTTGAGTTTATCCTAATTATAGAAAAGTGTTCGCTAAAGTTTGAATGTGGTCAATTTGATTGGTGCGATAGGTTTAATGTTAATGCTATATCTAACGATTTCTTATATTATATTTTTAAATATCTGTTCAATTCTCAATTATAATACAAAAAGAACATATAAAAATATAAGTACTAGATCTTGTACCTGAAATTTAATCTTCCTTTTTCTTAGTCCTCAGGATAGGCATACAACCACAAGTTTTATCTCTCGCAGCTAACAAATGAGCGCTTTTCACTTTGATACACGAACCTAATAAACAAAAAACAAAACATGAAATTTTGTAGATTCTCTGAAAATAAAAATAAAGGTTAGCAACATCTTAATTTTCTGTATGTATTAGAAATTATTTTTTTTTGTCGTAATAAAACTTATAAATTTATTTAAAAAATCATAATTACTGTTTTTGGCTATCTCTTCTTTAAAAGTGTTAAGGATAAATAGTTGTCATCGACTTTGTTGGCGGAACAACCAGGGAATTTTTGTGTGCAATAAATACACGAATATAATGCTAGTGATTTTAATTTTTTACAGTTCAACACACTATTTTTTCTTCTTCTAGTCCCGACATCTTTCTAAAACACGTAGTATATTTAATAATCCATGCGCTTATAATAAATTTAGGATTATCTTTTGCAATTCGCAATGAAATTATTTTGCTTTAATGTAACATTAACTGAGTGTAAAACTAGAATACAATGGGTGGAGTTTTTTAATGTACAAAAATTTTGCAAAAATGAGCATATTTTTGCAAAAAATATCGACTTTTTATTATCAAGAATGAAATGAGTGAAACTAAATTTAAGGCCTTACATACGTCCAGAATTTACCAAAAATTGATATTTTTTTTTTAACAGATTGATGTTCAGCATAGTTTTAGGCTTATTTCTGTGCAAGTCAATTGCAAAAATTCCTTATAGATTTAAAGTTATGGTAGAAAATGTGACTGCCCGACGAGAGTTTAGTGCGCGCAGATAGCTGTCTTTTGTTTGAAACACTTAAAACTTTAAACGCGATTTTCTAAAAATTACTTTTTCCGCCACGGTCTGCATGATAACTCATACAGTTTCAAATATTGTTTTATGCGATTGTTTTTTTAATATTTAAAATCATTTTCTCTATAGTTTTCGAGTCGGATTTTTGATATTTTGATTTAAAAATTTTATAAAAATAATAAAAATGTAAAATTTATGACGTAAACCGCATACTTTTTTTGAAACTGTCATAAATTAATATATTTTCCGAAATTCAAAATTGCGGTTTGACAAACTATAAGAACAAAATATTTTTTTACGAGAATTTTTAAAAATTTTGTACATCGATCAATATTTACTGGAGATATGATGCCGACTATGGAGCAACTATTTTTTCTTAGTGTTGTGGATCACGTAATTTTTTATATAGTAATTTTTGTTAAAACAAAGTGAAAAAGAATTTTCTAAAGTTTAAATACCAATAAACAATGTACACCATGTATTTTAAATAATTTCCATTGTTATCCCTACTAAAAAATTTTTTTTCTCTTAGCGCATTTTTGACGCTGCTAGACGTAAGTGAGACCTTAATCAAAGCGATAGATAGAATGATTTTTATTATTATAACAGTTTCATCATCAAACAAAAGACAATCCTATTTTCGGCGGCTGTATTGTTTATTAACATCAACACATTTCTCAAAAACGGTAGCCCAGGCAAATAAAACAACGTGACGTCATAACACGTGATAGGCATTATAACCCCTCGAAAAGTCCATACTGCAAGTTTGTACCACAGGTCCGTAACCGCGTGATCACAATGCAATCAACGCAGTGTTAGATTTTACACTATCAGGAGATGAATCAACAAAGGGGATAAAGAAGCTTGTAGGCACCACGCGCTCCAACTTCAACACCATTACATCTTTCAACGACCCCCATGCCTTGCAAGTTCACCTCGTCGAACGCCTCTTGCCCCGTAGCATTCAAAAGGAATGGGAGGAGAAACAAGAAGAAACAAGATTTAGATAATTATTTGACCCTCGAGGAATTTTACGAGTTCTTAACACTAGGTCTACGGACGTATTGTATAAACCTATCTCTACGGTACTTGACGGGTGAGTGAAAATACGCACATTTTTTAAAAAACTGATTTATTTAAGTTAACTAAAAATTGCACAATATTTTGCTTTACGTTTAAATAAAGTATTGGGTTGGGGAATAAAATCGTACCATTTTTACCGAAGACTTTTATTTAAACAAAAAACAATAATCATATCAATAAGTTAATCAATTACATATTCGCCGTTGCAGTTTACAACCTCTTACCACCTCCCGACCAATTTGTTGATACCGTTCCGCTAAAAATCGCCTGGTATGGTGTCAAAGAAGTTGTTTAGCCAGTTTTTAAGGACCTCCATGTCATCGAAGGTAACGCTCTTCACATGATTTGACAGGGAGCGGAAACGAGGAGCGGAAAAGATGCTAATCGGTTGGTGCAAAGTTTGGAGAATTCGGCTCATGCTAAAGGACCTCCTATTCGAGCTCTTGGAGTGCGGTTATGACGAACAGTGCAACATGGGGCCTGGCATTGTCGTGAAGGAGTATGATGGTTTGACCATGTCGATCAGGTCTTTTCAGTCGAATAGCCTCATTTACGTGGTGTAGTTGGTCAATGTAGAGCTCCTTGTTGTCCGTTTTCCTTCGAAAGTGATTTGAGACGTCTTCATCGAATTCAGAAGGCCTTCCGGTGCGGGGCGTATCATCGATGTTAAAGTCGCTATTTTTGAACTTTGCAAACAATTTCCGTGATGTAAACTCGCCTAGGACACCTTCTCTATACACGTCGAAAAAGTCCCGGGGCTGCTTCGGCTGCTTTATCATTTCGATGAAAAACAAAGAAGAGCATATGTCGAAAATGTTTATTTTTGCCTCCTAGGTATCGCATTTCTAAGCCTTAAAACTAATAAAAAATTAAATAACTTAATAATACAATAACTATTGTTTTTTAGAGCAGAAAGAGTTCTATCGAATGAACACTTACCCGTTGCCAAACAGCAAACAAATCGTTGTAAAATCTGTCGTAAACGACATCATACGTCATTGCACCGAACAGATATTAGAAACATACCTTAGAACTCCGGAACTATAACATCTCAAAGAGAGGAGGCAATTGCATCAACATCCCAAGCTGATTTCAAATCGATATAACTAACTCCAATATTTCATGTCAACCCATGAAGTATACCGATTCAATTGCTCATGAGCGCGATGCGCTTGGTTAGAAGAGGGAGAACAGATCCTTTATGCAGTGTCGTGCACTATTATATACTTGCGCAGCAGCGCATTTCATAACAGAGAACGTCGCGAGAGAGTTAGACTTACCGAATAAACCATACTCGATCCCAAACAACGCGATCAGCAATACGCAGACTCGATTGACAGGCATCATCGATTCAATCATTGGATAACAAATACAAACAAAACATTTCGTTACTGATCGTTCCTAAAATATCCGACAAAGTTCCAAGCGAAAGTCTTATTACGCAAATTCGTAAAGATTCTGACTAATCGAAAATCAACTACTCCTGCATTCTACTTACCACGACCGATCGATATTTTGATAGGCTCTGGAGCCATGTTAGCTCTTATGTCTGTTGGACATAACCACTGGAAGAGGTTCTTACACGCGAATCCTGAACTTCGAATCAAATACGAACACAACATGCAAAAATGTAAAAATTTAGGACACATTTCGCTCGTTGAATACGAACCCATGGGTGGCTGCTATCTTCCACTCCACGCCGTTATTAAATCAACTGCTACAACAATCAAAGTACAAATCGTATTCGAAATCTTTACGAAAAATAGTAAAGGGTTCTTCCCTTAACGAATCCTTACTGGTAGGATCTACGATACAGGATACGTTGCTAGAGCATTTACAAAGATTTCTTACGTACCAGTACGTGCTGACCGCGGAAATCAAGAAAATGTATCGGCAGATATGGATACATCCGGATGATCGTCAGTATCAACGCATATTTTGGTTTCATAACGACCGGATTGAACTCAATACAGTAAATATTCGGCATAGCCTCAGCACCTTTTCTCGTCATTCGGACCATGGAGACCACATAAGGAGCTCGCACTTAAACGTATTTAATTGCCAAAATCTGACTCCGCAAATCGTATAATTAAGTTTTCTTTTTTTACTACTAGTGTGGCTAATATTCCTTTTGTACTATTTTGAATATAGTAACGTACCGACGCGTAAAGTGAGCAAATAATTCTTAACCTTAGTACTTATATATAAACAAAAAATAATAGTAAGAAAAATAAAAGATTAAAAATAGGATTAATATAAAATTTATAAAAAAAGAAATGGACAGGGTGTGTTGCGCAGTAAAATATTGCAATCTTGAAAGTGTAGCTGAATCCCATACAAAGACGGGAATTAAATTTAAATAAACCTACGTTTTTTTAAAGTACCAAAGGTAAGTAACAATATTCCAACTAAAATAAAGTAGGAAAAAGAATTTATTAATTTAGTTTATATTTTAAATCATTGTATGCCACATTAGTAAGTTGTTCTATTTTTGCAAAATAATAATTTATTATCTTCAAATGATCAAAATATATATTTATTTTTCTATTCACTGTGTAATTAAACAGTAGTTCAACAAAACGTAAAGAGTGGATAGATTCTATATCAACCGAATTAAGTGAGTGTCAATACGTTTGCGATTTACCTTTTCAAAAAGAAGCAATTCAAGATTCTTATGTCAGAAGTCTATAAAATGGAGAAGTACATAAAATTATAAAAGGTCGAATAACACGTACTCGTTTTTTAACTAAATAATTAAGATTTAATCTAAATTTATTATTATGATTACTATTATTTTTTTTTTTTACGATTATTAAATAATTATTTATTTAATATCAATTATTTATACTTAAACAACCTAAATGATTAACCGTTATAGTTTCGTATTATTATTTCTTTTTAAAACTGCCGTCTTATTCCCCTTCCATTTAGGTACAAATAGAACACGGGCGCCCTCTTATTTTCATATCTTACTTGTACACATAGAGTTCGTGCTGAGGGAACGTTTTTCGATAAATAAGACAAACAGGCAGTGCATAAGGAAATAAACTCACATTGATAAATATAAAGTCGGCTGATAAATTATAGGAAAACGTACGCAGCGCGATTAGTTAAATCGGCGGAAGCCACCGTCCACCGGTTTTGGCGAAAGGTAAAAAAACAAACCGTGG